CGCTAACTGATTGCGCCACTGGAGATAGTGGGATTGGGAGCGGATGAAGGAGGGGGCTACAGCTGGGATACAAAGTGAATAAATTCTAATAAATTTTTAAAAGTTACTTAAAAAAAAAGAAAAAAGAAAAGACTATAGGGCTCTTTACTCTGTGTCTCTGCCTCAGGTTATACCATCGTATTTGAGTTTGTACAAATCATTATCTACCACTGTCATATAAGCTAGCATTCTTCTTCTTTGAATCACAAATGTTAACATTTATTTTAAATGTAAACTGTATGGCACGTACAGTTTCAAAGTAAAGGTAATTAATGCAAAAAAAAAAACCCCACAAAATAACATTTGTGTGTGTTGATCTCAGTCTTCATACACATTCTGCCCATTAGGCCCAGTGCAGCTAAGTAAATGTTCACATACTTTTACCGTTCACAGAACCCTTTTGCAACTATGCTTGTGAAATATTAAGAGCTGTGATCACAATGTAAAATGAAAGTCACACCACAGTTTTCACAGACAAAGCAGAGATGAGCGGATGGCCTTGCTGCTGTGCAGAGGGCAGATTGCATGGTCATAAATCTTGGGTTTGCACTGACCTTTATGCTCTTCTGGAAATACCAGACACATACATGGCAGCACCAGTGCCTTAAGAAATGCAGACTCATCCCTACTTCCTCCTCTGCAGCCCCCAGGACACAAGATAAAGAGACAGGCAAGTTCTGAAATTCCTTGCACTAAGAAACAGAGAAGGATTTTTCTTGGCCACAGAGTAATCTCTAGCAAAGGAATTGTCAAAGCCAAGGTTGGCTTATTCCTCAATAATGACCTACCAGCACAAAGTAAATGGAAGGATGCCAGGTACAGTGGCACATGCCTGCAGTCCTGGCACTTGGAGGCTGAGGCATGTAGAATGCCATAAGTTCAAAGTCAACCTGGGCTACAGAATGAGTTGCAGTAGAGCCTGAGCTATTGAATGAGACTTTGTCAAAAGATAAAACAAAAGAATATACCTTCCCATCTAGGTATGGAATGGAGGCACAACATGAACCAGACAGGCCTTCAGCCAGAAAAGCAGAGCTGATAGCTGCCTATATGAACACAGAATCATGAAGATGCCCCCCTCCCCTTCTCTATGGCGAGCAGTTCCCCACTGACGCAGGGCAGGGAGTAGGGTGCTCAGGTGCTTGGAGACCTGGCAGAAGTTGCAGAAGTTAGGAGCAGGTCAGAGAGGACTCAAGATTAGTGCTGTCTTGTGGCTTGACAAGAGGAAGTTCTCTTTAAAGCAGTCACTGGTTAATGTAGACTCATGGTGCTGAGTCAAGGTGCTGCAAACAAATGGCTACTGAGTGCTTAGCCTTAAATGGGACCCACATTGCTATAAGGCTCGGAGATCATCCTTGAAAAGGGAGCAAAAAAAAAAAAAAAAAAAAAAAAAAAAAAAAAAAAAAAA